ATCAGACTGTATCCTCTTCCTCTTACCAGGAGTTCACTAATCATGAGCAATAAAAGCCCTTTGACTCCAATAAATCATCAGCTAGGTCAGTGACACAGGAGTTCCAAGGTGACAGAATCCAGATACCTCATACTTAAGAAATAATTCTGACTCATCCCTCAGTGATGAAATGGAAAGGGATGGAATGGGGAATGGGAGATCTGAATTCTGCTGCCACTCTGCTAATGAGATGCCCTGTGATCTTGGGCAAAGCATTGCTTTCACCCTAAACCTGCACTTGCTAATAGACAATCAGGCTGGCTAGGTCCTAATGTCTTTCATCATCCTTACCTTGTCAATTTATGAAATCTTGAGTCCTGATTACACAGATTGATAACAAGAAAAACTGGGTAACTGGAAGAGACTGATGTGTTTTCCAGGTTTCCCCCACCCCCATCCCAGGAACCAGGGATCAGGGATTGAATTTAGGACTTTGCACTGATGAGGCAGGCAAGGTGCCACTGAGCTAAATCCCCAGCCCCCTCCGGTTCCTAAATGAAGCCCATGTGACATCACTGATTACCCATGTGCTAAGAGGGTGATATTTGTTTATTTCTGTATCTTTATATCTCACACACACACACACACACACACACACACACACACACACTTCACACTCATTCATTAGCTTTTGCTCTTTTATGTTCCCTAAAGGAAACTCAGCAATGAGTAGTTCTACAGCAAAAATATAAGTTCTCACTGGAAAATTCTGCCCACACTCCCAGTGGGATTCACCTGGAAGTTCTGGCCTGTTGAACCTTCCCTTTGAATTCAGAACATTTTAATTACAGGAACCTGCTGTCTCGACACTCTTCCCTTAGTGTTACACCTTGGAAGGAAATCTCACTTTCTTCTTCTCGTCTTTGGAAACCAAACAAAAGAACTAAAATAACTTCAGAGATGATGCTGACAAATTTCAGAAGAGTATGTGAAATGGTGAGATCCAGGATCCCTGAGAGAGGTACACCAGAGAAGGAAAGATTTTTGTTTTTGAGGTACTGGGGATTGAACATAGGAACTTTACACTGAGCTACATCTACAGTCCTTTTTAATTTTTAATTTTGGGATAATCTCACTAAGTTGCTGAGTTGCCCAAGCTGGCTTGAACATGGGATCCTCATGCCTCAGCTTACCAGAGTGCCGGAATTACAGGCATAGGGGTCTGCTTTTTATTAGCTGTGTGACCCTAGGACAGTGGTAGCAAACCTGTGCCACAGTGGACTGTTTCACTATCACTGCCTAGGAATTCACTTCATTTCTCCAAAAACTGGGACATAAACCACCTCAAAGATAATTTGTATGAAGTACAGAGCATAGTGAAGGCTCAATAAATGTGATATAGACACAGATAGTCACATGCACTCACACACATGCAGCTACTCATTCACAGGTACAAACACACACACCCTGAAAGACTGATGGGAAGATTACTGTGTACCTAGCACAAGGTCTAGCTCAATAAATGACAGCTGTTCTGCACAAAGGTATGAATGCATTAATGCTCAGAAAAAGAGTATCAGTGGTCACCTAGACAATCAGTTCTCACAGAGGTTGTAACCCTGGGCCAGATGCATCAGCATCACTTGGGAACTTCTACTATGTGAATTCTAGAACCTCACTTCATACTCAGGAAATCAGAATTCCAAGGGATGAAGTTAGGCAATGTGTGCTTTAAATATCCCTGTGCCACGGATCCTGATGCTTGCTGAACATTGAGACAATGACTTAGACAAGGATTTGACAAGCTGTTTCTACAAAGAGCCAGATGGTAATGATATTTTATGTTCCTGTTAACTACATATTGTATAACATAAAAACCTCCTGACAAAACAGCAAGACCAGCGAGATATCAAGCGTATCCTGCAAAAAGATAGGAAAGCAAAACACATGTTAAGTGTGATATATATGTATGGAAAATGCTGTTATCATGCGTGAACATTGCCTTAGGTGTGATAACTGAAGTAAAGATTATTTTTGTTATAGAGTTCTATTGGTATTTTCATTGTAGTTCATGTAGGAATTTATTTCTGTTAATTTTTAGACCTGGTAAACCAAAAAAGTTGCAAAATTTTGAAATGTTGAAAATTTTGATGCATTTTGTAAACACTTATTAAAAAATTCAATACAGGGCCCGGGATTTAGCTCAGTGGTTCTGGCACCTGCTTTGTAAGCGCAGGGACCTGAGTTCAATTCCTGGTACAAAAAAAAAAAAAAAAAAATTAAAAAAAAAAAAGAGCCACATGGTGCTTTAGCTTTTTTTTTTTTTGTATCAGGGATCGAACTCAGGCTCAGTACTTCGTACTTTCAAGGCAGGCACCACTGAGCTAAATCCCCAGCCACTTAGTTTTTTGTTTTTTGGGTTTTTTTGGTAACGGGGATCAAACTCGGGTCCTTGCGCTTGTGAGGCAGGTCACTGAACCGCTGAGCTAAATCCCCTGCCCAGCTTTTTGTTTTTAAAGTGTAAAAGCATTACGGACTCTCTTGTCTTTATAGTATTAAAACAGTCATAGACAATACTAGGTGAATGAGTATGGCTCTGTTTCAATAAATATTTACAAAAACAGAAAATAAGTATTTGAAACTAGATAAGATGAGGGAGTTGCATAACATTGTGAATGTATTAAATGCTACTGAATTATTCATTTTAAAATGGCCAATTTTGTGGTATGTGAATTTCACCTCAATAAATTATTGAAAAATCAAAAACGAGCAGTGGGTAGGATTTGGTTTCCCAGGCAATAGTTTACTGACCCCTGACCAAGATCAGCTTTAAGTTCTTAAACTCATTCCAGGCCAATTTAATTAGCAGTTATGTGACTTTCACAGTACTCAAATATTTATGTCAAGTCAGTCACTAACCCACAGAGCAATATTATTTTACTGATGGACAGATCGCAATTCCTCTGGAGAGTCTTTTCACATGTAGTCAGAATCTCCCTCTATGTGGCTTTTACCCATAGAGAATGCTATGGTTTGGATATGGCTGAGTGTGTCCCCCAAGGGTTTGTGTGCTGAAAACTTGATCTCCATGGTGGCTGTAATAGGAGGTGATGGAAGCACTCAGAAGTAGTACCCAGTAGAAGTGCTTAGATCACTGGGAGCTTTACCATGGGAAAAGATTAACATTGTTTTCTTCCTCAAGAGTGGGTGTTTATAAAAAAAGCAAGACTAGCTCTTTCTTGAGTACTCAAAACAGCTACATACATCTCTAGATCAGCCCTACAAGATTTCTCAGCTTCCAGATAATGATTCAGTTCTTTAACCTTTGAGGCCTCCAACTTTTTCATCTTGTCTTCAGCCTCTGTGAGCTTATCTTTCAAAGCTGCAATATTTTTCTCCATGGGCATCACAACAGACTGAAGTTTTTCAGCATCTTCTTAGGCCTTTTTCACTTCATTTTCTAAATTTTCTTCCTCTTGGCCTTCAGAAAGCATTTGCCTCAAATCAGCTATTTCTCTTTCCGCAGATTCTCGTTATTGTGCCCACTGTGTTTGTATCTGGTTAAACCAGAGGTGAAACTGGTGCTCATAGTCATGAACCATTTCTTTCATAACAGCCTGAAGCAAAGCAACTTCTTCCCATCACTGCCTTTTCATTTCATCTATGGCTGCTTGTTTGGTATTTTCAGAGACTGTGGTAACAGCCTTAATATTCTCTCTCTCTTTTTTTTTTTTTTGTACCAGGGATCAAACTCAGGTCCTTGTGCTTGTGAGGCAGATGGTGGAACCAACTGAGCTAAATCCCCAAACCTGCTCTCTTTTGATTAAATTCTGGCTCAAGCTACTGCTGTGCACGTAAAAATTCTGCACTGATTTTTTTTTTTTTTCAAATCTGCTTCTCATTGCTGAAGAGAAACCAAATGTAACTTCCAATTTAGAAATGAGTAGAAAACAAACAAGGTTCCATTTTCGCTGTTAATCAGTTTGTCAATAGTGTCCCAGTTCCGTCAGGCTGGGGAGCTAGGCCTGGCTGCACCATGGCTGAGCGGCTGGCAACAGGGAGAGGATCTGGGCTGCTGCGGGACCAGCTGGGAGAAAAGGCATCAACCAAACCACCGCCACTGTCCAGGGAGGAACAGCTAAAGCAGGAACCCTGGGCACCACCATAGCTGCGGGCAGAGTTGGACCTGAGTGCCGACCTCCGCCTCCTCATCTTGATAGTGGGGAAACCAAGACTAGCTCCTTCTCAATCCCCATGTGATCTCTCCCTGTCTCATGTGCTTCTATAGGATGCCATCTGCTATATTTTAACACAGCCAAGGGTGCCCTCACCTAAGCCAAGCTAAAACTGGAGCTGTGCTCTTGGACCCACAGAACTGTGAGCTAAACAGATCTCTTTTCTTTACAAAGAATTCAAATCAAGTATTTCAATATAGCAATAGAAAACAGACTAATACAGGAGAATTTACTTATGCTATGATTCCTGTCTCACCATATAGTACTCCATGCCAGAGTGATTAAAAGAATGAGTACATTTTAACTGAAGAAATATGAAACCAGGCATGTAAGCCTGAGAGGCTGAGGCAGGAGGATTACAAGTTCAAGATTAGCCTGTACTATTCAAAAATATAATTAAAAAAAAAAAAAAAAAAAAAGGAAAAGAAATGGAAGGGAACATGTTTCTGTGCTAAAGTATCAGACAAAGAGAAAATAGAACCCTTTAACTAAAAAATTACTCCACAGGATGTCCATTCTCCCTCTAACACACACCACCACCACCACCACCACTACCAGAACAGCAGTCAGATTTTTATTAGATGAGAGACACTCCAGATTATCTCAAAGTAACAACCATGCCAGAGGTGAAGAAACATTCCTATTTGACCAGGCGTGTTGGCGCATGCCTGTAATCCCAGCACTCGCGAGGCTGAGGCAGGAGGATCGCTGTGAGTTCGAGATCAGCCTGGACTACATAGTGAGTTCCAGGTCAATCTCAACTACATAGTGAGACCCTGTCTCAAAAAACAAAACAAAACAAAACAACCAAAAAAAATATTTCCTGCTTGTAGGAAAAGACAGAAACAAAGTCTAAGGGTCAGGTTCTCCTCCTGCTTAAGTCTAAGTACCCAGGAAGCTTTTGTGCTTGGCAGTATCACCAATGCCATCATAAAAGGGTTTGTGAGAGCTAGTTCAACTTGGCCAACAGTTCTTCTAGTTCTGGACGAGCTTTAAACCTTCCCTTGAAGTCTTCCTCAGTGTGCTAAGAAGAAGAAAAAGAAAATAAGTGGTAGTTACTACAGAGCTTCTAACAACCTATAAATACAAAGCATCTAAAAAGGGCCCATTAGCAAGCTCTGTAGAGAATGATTCAGAATTGGCTAACTCTTACTGAGTATCTGTTATGAATTAGACTTCCTCTTTTCTTTCAATTGACTTAGAGTTTGGTGTGAACAGATATATAAAGGACCAATGTCAAGATGTTACAAGTGCCAGGTGTGGTGGTGCACACCTGTAATCTCAGTACTTGGGAGGCTGAGGTAGGAGGATTGCCCCTGGGCTCAAGGACAGCCTAGGCCACATAATGCATTCAAGGCTAGCCTGAACTAGAAAGTGAGACTCTGTCTCAAAAAACAAAACAAAACAAAAAGATGCTGTAAGTGTCACAATAGAAGTTCTTTTTCTCAGTGCCAGGGATCAAACCCAAGACCTCAGACATGCTAGGCAAGCTCCCTATTAGCCACACTCCTAGCCTGAAGCATTTTTGCTTTAAAAGTAAAAATTAACCTTTTATAATAGGAAATGACACTCACAGAGATTGAAATATTTTAAGTTAGCATGATCAACACATTTTCTCCCTCTACACAGATCTCTGTGAAACCCAAATAACAACCAGAGCTTGACAAACACAGACTTATAAGAGAGCTTCATGAAGCAACGGTACCAGTCCAACATGATTTGCTGGATCTGTATCATAAGAACGATCACTGAGGCACCTGGGAAGAAAGCATTTAGGCTAAAGTTCCTGATGTGTTGCAGCCTTTCCTTGTTTGATAAAATCTCCTTCTGGATGGCACTGTTTACTGAAAATATTCAGTCAGGCTACAGTCAAGCCTTTAAGGCTCAGGAAACTTTGTTCTCAAATTCTGATTTATTATACTGTATATAATCTTTTTTTTTGTACCAGAGATTGAACTCAGGACCTTACGTTTGTGAGGCAGGCACAGTGCCACTGAGCTAAATCCCTGGTCCTACTGTATATAATCTTAAACTATATTCTTCCTGCTTTACAACTGTTTAAAAGGAGAAAATTAGCATGTCGCGGGCTCACCCCTAACATCAACATGCTGTGATGGAGTTCAGCTCCTGTGGTGCACAACAGCAAAGAGAAAATAGAATCAAGCATTCCTGATGCCTCAGAAAAGCCAGAAGAATAACTTACAGCTCCACTAGACTGCATACCTCCCTTGATTATTGTCTAGGCTAAACTATCCATATTTCTTTACAATTCCTAAAGCCAGGCTGTCCAGATATTTTTGTTTGCTTGTTTTTCCAGTGTTAAGGATCAAACTCAGGGCCTTGGGCATGCTAGGCAAGCTCTCTCAATGAGTTACATCCCCACTCTTAAATGTTCTTTTCCTTATTTTGAGCACAAGTAGGACACCAGGGGGCTGCTTCCCAAACCAGCACCTACCTCCCTCACTGACAATCTGACTCCTTCAGGAAGATTGCTCTGGAGTATTTCCAAGAAAATCTCTGCGAATGTAGCACTCAAACCGCTGATCTGCAAAATGAAAGAAAATGCTCTAAGATGGGGCAATGAAAGCCAGGTGACTGGGCAGACATGTCCTGAGCTCAAATGCTATCTCTAGTAAGGTAAAGGATTAACATCCAAAACTGTTTCCTGAGCCTAACCCCTTCTGTATTTCTCTTGCCATTCCCCAAGATGCTTGCTTGCTGAGATGGTTGCTAACAATATATATTTGCTTCTGTAGCCAATGGATGTCATAACTGGAACAAGAAGGTATCAAGTCCAGGTTAACTTTCTGATGCAACTCAGGCCAAGTGCTGTTAACAAACTGTTGAAAATACAGATGCATGGTAGTAAGGCATGCAGGGTGTTATGAGGACCTACAAGAGAAACACATACCAACTCAATCAAGGGAAGATCAACGAAAGCATCTAGAGAAGGTAACACCAGGGTAGTCTTTTTTTTTTTTTGTTTTTTTTTTTTTTTTTTTTTTTTGTACCAGGGATCAAACTCGGGACCTTGTGCTTACAAGGCAGCACCAGGTACTCTTGAAGAAAAATAGGATTAAACTGGGAGAAACCAATAGTAATGTAGAGAGTTTTCAAATCAGAGGAAGGATCACTCAGTAAAATGTGGAGGCATAACAATGTTGGCGAATTAAAACTAATCCCTATGTGGTGGGAGTAAATAGGATCCAAAGAAGAAAAGCAAGAGGAGAATTAGGTAGGCATCCAAGTGTTAGGGTTCACATTTTTACTTTGAGAGGCTGATGTAGGAGGATCTCACATTCAAGACCAATTTGGGAATTTAGTAAGACCCTTTCCGAAAATAAAAAATAGAAAAAGGTCTGGGGATGGAGTTCCGGGCAAATAAGATCTACTGTGAGATATATGATGAGCTGGATATGGAGTATATGCTTATGATCCTAGCACTTGGAAACTGAGGCAAGAGGATCTCTAATTAGAACCTAGTCTGGGCAACTCAGTGATTTAGTGAGACACTGTCCCAACATAAAAAAAAATTTTTAAATGGCTGGGGATGTAACTCAATGTAAAGGCTCTGGATTGAATCCCCTACATGAAAAAAAGAAATAAAAAAATATACAATGCAAATAATTTAGTCCTGATAATATTTAAAGAACCAAAACAGTGGGAGAATTACAGAAAAAGAAAGAAGAAAAGCTAGCCTCTCTACAATTAATTTTGCATACACTGAAGAGAAGGAACACTCCTGTAGGACATCCAGGGCAAGAGGTCTGGTAGACAAATGGGTGTCTGGAAAGCTCAGCCAACGGACCAGGCCTAGATATGCAATTGGAGGTTATCAGTGTATAATGAAGACCACTGAGGCAGGGGGAATGAACGACTCTGCATAAAAGGAGAGATTAGCTGGGCAGAGTGGTGCGTACTTGTAATCCCAGCACTCTAGGAGATTAAAGTAAGAGGATTCCAAATTTGAACCTAGCTTAGGCAACAGAGAGAGACACTCAAAAGAAGTTTATTTTTGAGACAGGGGTCTTGTTACGTAGTTCAGACTGGCCTCAAACTTGCAGCAGTTCTCCTGCTTCAGCCTCTCAAATGCTGGGGTTACAGGCATGTGCCACCATGTCCAGTGAGACCCTCAAATCTCAAAGGTAAAACAAAACATTTGAAAAGGAGAGATGGAAAGATTAAAAACTGAACTCTGGAAGGGGAAGAACAAAAAGGGAAAAGAAAAAAATGTGAGAGAATGAAAAGATGAAAATAAAGTGTTTGTAGATGGGGAGGGGAGGAGGGGGTGAAGGGAGGGCAGAGGTAAGGGGAAAAAAATGAGAATCAAGACTTGCCATGTAAAGGTACATGATCCCAACAATGAATGTAACTGTACTGTATCCCTAAATGTACCAATAAACTCAATTAAAAAAAAAAAAAAACTGAACTCTGGAGTAAACTATTGTTCAAGGGCAGGCAAGAAGAAGAAAAGGGCATGACACAATGAAAGAAAATGGAAGAAAAGACCCAGAGAGGCAAACAAACACCAGCTTCCCCAAAAGCATACCTGAACTACTCGTTCATGGGTGGTAAGGACTGAGTCTAGTAACATTTTGTTGCCTTGGTCCTGCAGCCGCATCACTTCCATGGTTTTGGTGGGCATTGCATAACTGTGGGAGAAGAATCAGCTGTTGGGAGTGGTCACAGAGGCCAGCAGCACCACTGTTGTAGGGTCGTCAAGTCAATCAGGGTTATCCAGTACAGCGCCACTGCATGTAATATCCCTAGAATCTAGGGGATGCTTAGCTGCATGCAGCCAGAGACAAAGTAACCAGATACCCTCTCTGTCCTCCAGATCCCCTCTACCTCATCCAGAAGTCTCTAAATTTCCTGAGGGAATGGACCATGTCTAACACCTTCCTGCATGCCCATACATGCTTAATACAATACCCTTAATAAAATCTAATAATTAACCAACATTTGCTGTCACCGAAGAAGAGCCAGTTCTACAGTAATCAAGCCCATCATGAAGTATACTTTGGAGGCTAACTTTGGTATTTCACTTGTTCTGGAAAAATAAAGCATAAAACCCAATTGTTCCAGAACAGGAGTTCTCTACCTCGTGCTACTGACATTCTAGACCGATAATTCTTTGTTGTGGGGGCTGGTCTGTACATCCCACACTGGATGCTGCTGGATAGTCTAAAATGACGACAATCAAAATTTTCTCTAGACATTATCTTAGTCATCTGGGCGGAGATCCATGGTTGAGAGTTTGTTCACTGTAATCAGCTTCAGCAGAACCACATGCTACAGTGAGAACTTGAAGTCAAGTGTCAGCCCTGCCATTTATTAAGTAAGTCACTCTCCTCTCTGGAGCCTCAGATTCTTCATGTGTACATGAAATTACAGTCTGGCCTCATATCAATACACAGTTGTGAGGATTAGATGTGGTGAGAAGGCTGAACTGATAGCTACAGAGAAATATACTATTTGTGTTATATTCATCTTTCAAAAGTTTATCAAATTAAAGATAAAAATAGTAATAATGACAAAAGATTCCTGATTTTTTAAAGCCTTCCTCACAAAGTTTCATCATTTAATAACAAAGGCATGGAAGTCTGTAGATAGACCTCTGCAAAAGGAAGTCTGGTGTAATAGAAAATGGAGTAGAAACATGATGGCCCTTGATTTGTATACTGGCTGTGCTTGTTTCCTATTTGAACTTGGACAAATTAATTAATTTAGCGCTGTGTCTCAATTTCTTTACTTATAAAATGGAAATAATAATAATAACTAGTTCATAGGGTTACTGCAATGATTGAACTAGATTATGTAAGTAATTTGTCTGGTGCATATTCCTTTGCCCTTGTAAATAGTAAATGTTGGGTACTGCACTTATTCAGGAGGCCTTTCTAACTAATATCCCCTTCCACTTTTCAACATGATCTCTGACACCCTCTTCTTGCAACTCAAATGCAGTTCATAAAGCCGGGCGTGGTAGCACATGCCTGTAATCCCAGCACTCGGGAGGCTGAGGCAGGAGGATCACTGTGAGTTCGAGACCAGCCTGGGCTACATAGTGAGTTCCAGGTCAGTCTCAACTACATAGTGAGACCCTGTCTCAAAAAACAAAACAAAACAAAAAACAAACAAACAAACAAAAAACCAAAACCACTCAAAAAAACAAATGCAGATGATAACTTTCTCAGATAAAAGAGAACACATCCCTTGTACTGGGGTGGGGTGGGGATAGATGCTCTTCCCAAGCATTTTTTTTTTTCCTGTTAAGTTTATTGGTACATTTAAAGCAAACAATACAGTTAGATTTATCATTGGGATCTTGTACCTTTACATTCCCCAAGCATTTAAAACAAGGGGAAAACTGAAATGTTTCCTTTGGTATGACACAGGATGGCAGCTGACCAATGTCTGTTACACTGCTAGGAAGCATTACTGAGATGACCTGCCACTGCAGTCCATGTCCCACATCCACTGTAGTTCCATCTGCCAAACACCTCCATGTCAGGGTCTTGGGTAGATGCTGTGCTTTCTGTCCTACCATGAAATTGACTTGACCTATTTCAGACAGATTGATTCAATGAACACTAACCTAGTCATATTGCTTGTAACACTAGAATTCAATCTGTAATCACTGTTACCCTATATAATCACTTAAACATCATTACCATTCAGGGTTTTACTTTTAGTCATGCCCTTTAACTTTGTGAACTTCTAAAAATATACTACAGAAATTATACATTTCTGCCAGGCGTGGTGGTCCATACCTGTAACCCCAGCACTTAGGAGGCAGGAGGATCGCTGCAAGTTCGAGACTAGCCTGGCTACATAGTGAGTTCCAGGGCAGTCTGAACTACATAGTGAAAAAAAATCAATCAATCAATCAAAAGAAATTATACTTTTTTGCATATATATATTTATTTATTTTTAAGACAGGGTCTCACTAAGTCTCTAAATTGCCCAGGCTGGGCTCATGTAATCCTTCTGCCTCAGCCTTCCAGAGTGCTGGGATTATAAGTGTGCACCACCATACCAGGCCTGTATTTTTTTCTTGAGTCAGCTTTTCTGGCTTAAGGGCCACTGATACTAATAGATTTTTCTGTTTAAAAAACATTTTATAGCCAGGAATGTAGGCACATGCCTGTAATCCCAGCACTCTGGGAGGCTGAGGCAGGAGGATCACAGGTTCCAGCCCAAACTGGGCAACTCTGTGACCCTGTCTCAAAAACAAAACAAAACAAAAGGCTGTGAATGTAGTTCAGTGTGAGTGTCCTAAGTTCAATCCGCAGGGCCACAAAAGGAAAAAAATAACAACTTTCATAATTCTTACTTTGTGGTTATGGACCAAACACTACTTTTACTTTTCATAATAAATGCATATATCATTCCCCTTATCTAGCCAATACTACTACAATGACACTGTCATGGTGCCAATGAATTACAAATTCCTTTATCTTGTAATGTTTTAAAAATGTGAATTTTATAAATCAAATAAAAATTTTAAAAATTAGCCTCTAAAAATTTTTTTAAAAATAAAAGAGAACACAATCATAGACTTCTTATGGAAGATAAAATAATTATATAAAAGCCTTCAAAAATTTTTTTAAAAAAGCACTGTTGCCAAATGCAGTGATGCACACCTATAATCCCAGTGCTTGGAAGGCTGAGGCAGGAGGATCACTGTGAGTTCAAGGCCAGCCTAGGCTACCTAGTGAGTGGAAGACCAACCTGAACTGTGAGACTCTACTAACAGCCTGTTCAGTCCTAAGTACTCTGGGGGCAAAAGCAGTGTATTTTTTCAAGGAGCTCACTAAGAGTATTCCAGAGAGATGGTAAGTGCACAAATATCTGCACCACAGCAAAACAAAGACAGTAATAGTATGTGCTGAACAATGTAGGGGCAGGAAGAGAAGAGGGGCTGAAGGAAAGCTTCACTGGTGAGGTAGTGATTTTTCAAGAGCCAGAGAATAAGCATGCTTGCCTGGAGAGCATTCCAAGAAAGGGCAGCCACATTTTCAAAGCCAAGAGGGGCCCTCCAAGAGCTAAAAGAAAACTAGACACAGTTTGATAAAAGGAATATAGGGAACTCTGTCATTTCAAGGTAGAACAGGTCATTTAGCAAAGTAAAAGTACGGGTAATCTTTCTTTATATTTTTCTGTGCTTTCCAATTCTTTACAAGAAACATTATTTGGAATGTCAGACAGTAAAAAACAGAAGGGAAAAAAATGAACGAACTGAATTTCAACACAACAGTGCTGTTTTTGGAGAGCAGTAGCTAGAGATGGATATAGGAGGCTGATGGGATACTTACCAGAGACTTAGAATCTGTGGATTTTATTTTGAAAAATATGAGTGGACTTTTACAAATATTTTTTTTATTTTTTTATTTATTTTTTTTTTTGAGACAGGGTCTCACTATGTAGTCAAGACTGACCTGGAACTCACTATGTAGCTCAGGCTGGTCTTGAACTCACAGTGATCCTCCTGCCTCAGCCTCCTAAATGTTAGGATTACAGGTGTGCACCACCACGCCCGGCTTGGACTTTTAAAAATAAATAAAAACAGCCTAGGCATAGTGGTGCATACCTGTAAACCCAACATGTAAACTGAGGTAGAAGGATCCCCAGCAAGGGGGAATTTAGTGATTTAGCAAGATCTTCTCTCAAAATAAATAAATAAATAAATAAAAAGGGCAGCTTTTTTTTTAAGGGCCAGTTTTTGTAGCTTACTGAAAGACCCTGAGTTCAATCCCCCAAAATAAATAAATAAATAAATATTAAAGAAAAATTTTTTAAATTAAAAAAAGAAAGAGTAGTGTCACAGAGAGTGATGCTTTCACTCCTCACAGAGCACAAGGGCTCAGTTCATCTCAGGCTTGGAAGCTGCTCCCACAGAAATATGATTTCCACCTCTCCAGGAAAAGAACGTAAGTCAATTAAGAGATTCAGGAGAGGTCTCTTTCTCTCCTTTCTTGCAGGAGTTACAGCTGCAGCAGTGCAGACCAAGCGCAGAACAAAAGCCACACACTGCTTTCTAGCCCAATTCCAACTCAAGGTCAACACCAGCATCCCTGTACCCTCTACCCCTCAGCTGCAGAGAAAAAATGAAAATGGATCAGAGTGAAATGAAAACCAGAAGAAAACAATATCTTCTCTGAGAAGCAGGACAGTGACAATGCCTAACAATACAATAGTCTGAAAACCTCAATCAATGCAGAGAATTAAGTCGTTAAGAATAAACAGCTCTTTATGATCTGAGCAAAGAAACAGAAAAGAGGCAAAAAGCAGCACATCATTCATCTTGCTAACCTAGGAATCATGTCCATTCTGGTAAAAACTCAATCCGAATCAACAAATAATTGTTCTGTACCTATAATGTGCTAGGTGGTAGGCCAGGTCCTGGGGTTAGGCCCCAGTGGCAGAAAGTCTTTCCCTTACAGAGCTTAAAGTCAATAGCAATGACCAATCATAGTCAAATGAGTTGAAGGATAGAGAATGCATGTTAGAAAGAGTAGGTACTACACAGATGAGAAAACAGGTCATAATTGCTAATTATGCAAAACAGGTCATAATTGCATAATTTTCCAAGGTCATAATTGCTAATCATTTGATGTATGTGTGTGTGTGTGTGTGTGTGTGTGTGTGTGTGTGTGTGTGTGTGTCTGTATAATGGGGATTGAACTTGGGCCCTTGTGCTTGTGAGGCAGGCACCAGAACCACTGAGTTAAATCCCCAGCCCGATGTGTATGTGTTTTTTGTTTGAGACAGGGTCTTGTGCATTATGTAGCCCAGGCTGGCCTCAAACTGGTGATTCTGCCTCAGCCTCCAGAGTGCTGGGATTATAGGCGTGCACCATTACACCCAGCTATTGCTAATAATTTGAATGCAGACACTTTGATTCCCAAACTTGTATTCTTATTGTTATTTTAAGTGTAGACCAGATACAAGCTCCCAGTAAACAAATTGTTATTAGTCTGACAAGAAATATGTACCAGTCACTCAATATACTGTTTAATTCAGCTTTTTTCTTTTTTTGGTACTAGGGATTGAACCCAGAGTCTCAAACATGTAAGGCAAGGGCTCTACAACTGAGCTATATCCACAGCCCTTAGCCAATATTTTTTGTTTCTTAAGAGCAAACCTTTTTTGATGAGGGAAACCAAATATTAATCTACGTTTTGGCATAAACTCCTGATATCTTCTTAGAGTGATACTCCGAGAAACACTTTATTACACTACTCTTCCATCCTGAGCTAATGTTGCACTTTATCTGCCATGTAGCACCCTCTACGTGACTGTACAGATATTTCTCTTGGTGTGTATATATGTGTGTGCGCACTATCTGTGTGTATGCTCCCTGGAACTACCTTAGTAGAATCTTCTCATTACAATGTCAAGTATAGTGCCCACTACATAGCAAGAAGAGGCTCAATAGTTTTGTTTTTTGTTTTTGGTACCAGGGATCAAACTTGGGACTTTGTGCTTGCAAAACAGGCAGTGGAACCACTGAGCTAAATCCCTGACCCAAGGTTCAATTGTTTAGTTACAAGTATTTTTATTAAACATTATCAATGTAAGCAGTACAACTAGATTGTGTAGCCATATTAAAAAATCTGCTATTCTTCTGGGCATGGTGGCACATGACTGTAAACCTAGAATTCAGGAGGCTGAGGCAGGAAGGACACAGCAAGTTCAAGACCTGCATATACTAAATACTAAGTTCAAGGCCAACCTGAACTACACAGTGAGACCCAGTTTCAAAAAACCAAAAACAAAAAACTCAGTCATTCTTTCAAGGATAACTGAATGAGCATCTCCCATGTGATAGGTCTTGTGCTAGGTGTTATGGAGACAAAGAACACAGTCCCCATCTAGAAGGAATGGGTAGTGAGAGGAAAGGGGAATTAATTTAACAATAGATCACTACAGCCCTGAGCATAAATGACATAACAGAGGTGTGCATCTAGTAAAGGAAAGAGCAACCAACTCTCTGGAGCCTCAGAAAGAGATAAAGCACATTTTTATGCTTAAAAGAATTGAAGTACTGTTAGCTGTAAAAGTTAAAATCACAGCTTATTATCAAACCTTCTAAAAAGCACTTTTATCAGTTGTGCTCTAAGTTACAGAGGTTTAAAAGTTCAAATTTGACTTATAATAAGATCTTATATAATTGAAAATATGAGAGTCAGATAGACTCGGTTTAAGTCCAGACAACTAACTGGTTCTGTGACTTGTCCTTTTCAATCCTTAGTTTTCTTATCTGTAAAATGGTAATAAACTAATATCTAAGGAGTAAGAAAGAATAATTTTTGCATATCTATATACACCATGTATAAGGCCAGGGATTTAGCTCAGCGATTCCACTGTCTGCCTTGCAAGCACAAGGTTCCAAGTTTGATCCCCGGTACCAAAAAAAAAAAAAAAAAATCATGTCAACATATTATGCCATGAAATAAATATTATTATAAATATGAATAAATAGTAAGGTACCTTACTACCATTTCTAAGCTATCATTAACTCACTTCAAAAATTCATTTAAAAAAGAAACTTGAAAAAAGAAATGAGTTGTATTACAACTTAGAACTCATACATTGGTAATGAGAAAATAACACAAAAATTTTGAAAAAGTTTGGCAGTTTCTTATAAATTCAAACATAAGGGGAGGGGAATGGGAAAAATGGGGAAAAGAAAGAAGAAGCAAGAAAGCAAGATATATCATGTACAGATACAAGTTTTCTATGATGAATGTTATTATTATGTATATCTAAAATTTTTTAAATGTAAAAAAAAATTCAAATATATACTATGCTTGCCAGTTCGCTTGGCAATCATACTTGTAAAGAAATGAAAAGCACAAGTTCCTGAGTTCGATCCCTGGTCCTGGGGAGAAAATTAAAAAAAAAAAAAGAAATGAAAACTAAACAAAAACAAAAACCAGGACATATTTATAGCGCCTTTATTCATAATTGCCCCAAATTGGAAACAACATAAATATATTTTTGGGGGTTGTTTTTTTTTTTTTTTTTTTTTTTTTTTGGTACTGGAAGTCAAACTCAAGACATTGCGCTTGCCAGGCAAGCACAATGCCACTGAGCTAAATCCCTGGCCCATATATATACATATTTTTTTTGGTACCAGAATTCGAACTCAGGCCCTTGAGCTTGTGAGGTAGGAAGCAGAACCACTGAGTCAAACCTTTTTTTTTTTTTTTTGAGACGGGGTCTTGCTATGTAATTCAGGCTGGCCTTCAACTCACTATGTAGCCTAGGCTAGCCTTAAACTCTCAGTGATTCTCTTGCCTTAGCCTCCCAAGTGCTGGGATCACAGACATATACCACCATGCCTGGCCACAAATATTTTAGTCAGTGAATAGATAAATTGTGGTACATCTTTTCAAGACAAAATGCTACTCAGCAACAAAAACAAACAAAATACTTGACACATGCAATGACATGGATGAATGGTAAATATATTATGCTAAGTAAAAGGCAGATTCAAAAAGAAAAATACTGTATTTTTCCATTTATACGATATTTTGGAAAAGGCAAAATTGTAGGGACATAAAATAGATTAGTACTTAAATGAGGATGGGAAGAGGGACTAACTACAGAGGCAGGAGGGAACTTCTTGGGTTGATAGAAATATTTTATATCTTGCCCGGCATGGTGGTGCACGCCTTTAATCCCAGCACTTGGGAGGCTGAGACAGGAGGATCATTGTGAGTTTGAGACTAGCCTGGGCTACATAGTGAGTTCCAGGTCAGTCTCAACTACATACTGAGACCCTGTCTCAAAACAAACAAACAAACAAAAAAGAAATATTTTATAAATACTATGATAGCATTTATTCTGGTACTTTAGTGAAAGCTCATAGAATTATTCACTAAAAGAGTGAATATTACTGAATTTGAATTATAGCTCAATAGGCCTGACTTTATATCATAACTGTAAATGGAAAATCAGTATCACCTGCTGTAAATAGAAAGTAAGTTAAAAATAAATGTAATGAAAACAAAATAATGTTATAAAATTCTAGCTAGATATTAGTGCTTGTCAAATATTACAAGCCTCTGAGAATTTCTCCTTGACAGAACTAGGTTGAATGAGAATTTAGAAGAGAATAAATTTCTAACCATGTGATTTAATGTTATTTAAGGCAAACTACAGAACATCCTATACTGTCTGAAACATTAAGATAAAAATTGCAAAGTGCCTGGCTTACAGTAAGGGGTCAGTAAATGTTAGTTCTCCTCTTCTACAGTTTTCCAGAAAATTCAGAGCATACAAGAAAAGCAAAATAGGCAACAAATACCCAAGAAAATGGAGAAAAATACTATGTTAAAATTTCAATTCTCCCCAAACTGATCTACAGATTCAACATAATCCCAACAAAATACTTGGCTCTTTTCTGTAGAAATCAACAACAGACAGCTACACACTGTGTGATTCCAATCACATGACATTCTGAAGAAATTAAATCAACATGGACAGAAAATTGCTCAGTGATTCCCAGAGATTTGAGTGGATGTGGGGGGTGGGGGGGCAGAAGTGACTACACAGGGGAACCAAGGAACTTTCTGAGATAATGAAAAAGTTCTCTTTGTTGATTATGACAAACTGTCTACCTAAAACAAGTGAATTTTATTTTCTATAAATTGTTTCATAAAAACCTGATTCAGCAAAAGAAGCAGAACATGCTATTAGACTAAAAATATTCCATTCAAAGGCATCTTTCCTACCTTTCCTCTACTTTGACGGACAGATGGTTGCAGAGGCTGTGAACATACTGAGAATAACTCTCTACCATGGTCATGTCATATGCAGTCAGGTGAATGTTTAAAACTCCATATTCATAATCTGTTCCCAAATTAATGGGTCTCATTTCTACTTTTCCCCTTTTCTTCTTGGGCTGAAAACAAGTGAAAAGAGAAAGAAAATAAATTAAAGTATTGTACAAGAAATTCTAATCATACCATCTGGATATTTTTTTTAAATAAATCTTTCAAATAAATTTGTTTACCATTTTTCTCTCAGGTTACCCTTACCTATAAGCTTCCTCTTGGGAAGGAATGAGTAGCTTTCTTGAACAATGCAGGCTATGATAGCCAGTAAATTTTAAAAATTTTTTATTGGTATATGTTTGTAAGACACACTGATTACATTCAGCTTGGGAGATGAAATATGTATATTTATGTATGTATGTATGTATGTATGTATATATATATATATA